ATTGACAGTGTAATTATTTGTATTTTCTGGCAATCTGTCCTATTTCACATTTTTCTAACATTCATGATGTTAATGTTTTGTCAACTTTCAATCATTACATCACAACTGAGAAGCACCAGAACAAGCCCAGCTGTCATTTTGGCTGACACCATCAACTGGTGGTTTTTTTTTTGGTGAGAGAGTGGATCAAAGATACAAACTTAGGGCCTTTCTGTTTCACACCAATCTGGATCAAGATCAATGATGCCAAAGCTAATTCATGCTATCTATTAGGTTCTGGTGTCAGTTAAGCAACGTCAGATTTAACGATCACGATCCAGATGCGCTTGAAACAGCCAGGCCCTCTCAGATTGTGTCTGAAATCCACAGGAATTTCAGAAGGACCCCTCCTTTCATTTTAAAATTGACTTATTCTGCACACAGGAAGCGAGTGGGACTATGTGATCATGTCCACAGTGCGCTCCTTGTCCAGGATTGAGATCAAGGAGAAGCCCAGCGTTGGCTGGAAACAGAAGAACTTAGGCTTCATCATTGATGAGAACCAGATGAATGTCGCCCTCACTCGAGCCAGACGGGGCCTCATCATTGTCGGTAAGGAGTTCACCTGCTGTGCTTGTATAAAACATTCATCCTAATGAAATGAGTCACAAGTTGCCAGTGCCAAGTGATGTGGGGCCAGAAGCCTTTGATAGATTACCTTGCACAGTATACATCAAAAGACACCTTCAACATTTTATTTCCCATTTAATGTCCATTATCATGACGATGACAGATTGAGTGATGCATCAAATCAAAGAGCTCAGTTTACTCTTTCTAATGCAAACACAAATAAAACTAACAGAAAATCTTAAGTGTGGGCATAAATTTGGGAGGGAGGATGGGGTATATATCCTCCCTACTTTTTGAGGTGGGAGGATGGGCTATTGAATTACCCCCCACACACACACCCAAGTGTGTATTTGCCTGCAACTGGGGACCCCCTATTGTTCCTCTTTTGTTTGTACTTTAACTTTTTTAGAAGACCACCCATATGTTTGTACACACTTGTCAATCGGGGACCCTCTGTCAATCGGGGACATTATTGTCCTCTATTGTTCAGGGTCCCCAATTGAATGCAGAAACAAACTCACAAACACACTTTTTTGTGGTGAGCCAAAAAGTAAGAGCCGATTGTGAAAAATCTTTTTAGACTAAAATGCATTCAATATCACTCAAAAAGGGAAAATAATGTTTAAAACCCATTAATATGCCATTCTTAATGCATAATACATATAAACATCGACCATATAGAGTCATATAGTGTCACCCCCGCTTCAAATGTTTATAGCCAGGCAAGTCATCCCCCTCCACCTTTCCCCAATCCCCCAATTCCAGCACAGATTTACGTCATTTTATTGGAATTGGTAACAAATACAGTCTTCGAGTAACTCTCTTTCCCTTCAATAGTCTTATAGTTCGACTACCTCTGGAAAAAATGCAAAGGAATTGCCTTGATGACCTCTTTTTAAACCCATTCTTGAGCCAATTTAGCCACTTTGTAATTTTAATTGCCACCAAATCTACACTTAAAAGAGGCCCACAGATTGTCATTCATTGACCTAGAGAATTAATTTGTAGTGAACCAACAAATATATGACCACAGTTTAAGACAGAGAGTGTCAGCGCCATCACAAGACCAGACACAAGACCTGTCACGAGACCAGTCACGAGACCAGACACAAGACCAGACACACTACCAGACACAAGCCCAGTCACAAGACCAGACACACTACCAGACACAAGCCCAGTCACAAGACCAGTCACAAGACCAGTCAAAAGACCAGACACAAGACCAGTCACAAGACCAGACACACAACCAGACACAAGACCAGACACAAGACCAGACACAAGACCAGTCNGTTGACAATGTAATTTTTGTTTTTTGGCAATCTGTCCTATTTCACATTTTTCTAACATTCATGATGTTAATGATTTGTCAACTTTCAATCATTACATCACAACTGAGAAGCACCAGAACAAGCCCAGCTGTCATTTTGGCTGAAACCATCAACTGGTGGGTTTTTTCGTGAGAGAGTGGATCAAAGATACAAAGTTAGAGCCTTTCTGTTTCACACAAATCTGGATCAAGATCAATGATGCCAAAGCTAATTCATGCTATCTGTCAGGTTCTGGCGTCAGATTTAACGATCACGATCCAGATCTGCTTGAAACAGCCAGGCCCTCTCTGATTGTGTCTGAAATCCACAGGAATTTTAGAAGGACCCCTCCTTTCATTTTAAAACTGACTTATTCTGCACACAGGAAGCGAGTGGGACTATGTGATCATGTCCACAGTGCGCTCCTTGTCCAGGATTGAGATCGAGGAGAAGCCCAGCGTTGGCTGGAAACAGAAGAACTTAGGCTTCATCATTGATGAGAACCAGATGAATGTCGCCCTCACTCGAGCCAGACGGGGCCTCATCATTGTCGGTAAGGAGTTCACCTGCTGTGCTTGTACAAAACATTCATCCTAATGAAATGAGTCACAAGTTGCCAGTGCCAAGTGATGTGGGGCCAGAAGCCTTTGATAGATTACCTTGCACAGTATAGATCAAAAGACACCTTCAACATTTTATTTCCCATTTAATGTCCATTATCATGAGGATGACCGATTAAGTGATGCATCAAATCAAAGAGCTCTGTTTACTCGTTCTAATGCAAACACAAATAAAACTAACAGAAAGTATGGTCTGAAGCATGGGCATAAATTTGGGAGGGGGGATAGGGTATATATCCTGCCTACTTTTTGAGGTGGGAGGATGGGCTATTGAATTACCCCCCCCCACACACACACACACACACACTTTTTTGTGGTGAGCCAAAAAGTAAGAGCCGATTGTGAAAAATCTTTTTAGACTAAAATGCATTCAATATCACTCAAAAAGGGAAAACAATGTTTAAAAGCTATTAATATGCCATTCTTAATGCATAATACATATGAACATCGACCATATAGAGTCATATAGTGTCACCCCCCGCTTCAAATGTTTATAGCCAGGCAAGTCATCCCCCTCCACCTTTCCCCAATCCCCCAATTCCAGCACAGATTTATGTCACTGGTCTTAAGATTCATTCTATTGGATTTGGTAACAAATACAGTCTTAGAGTAACTCTTTTTCCCTTCAATAGTCTTATAGTTCGACTACCTGTGGACAAAAATGCAAGGGAATTGCCTTGA